TATTAAGAGCACTTGTGTGAAGCAAAAAAACTACTGATTCTTTTTTTCTTTTTTTTTAAATATGAGTTAGTTTTCCTGTTTTCTTTGTGACACTGAACACTTGAACAGTTTGCGTAAAAACAATTGTGGTCTTTCAAACATTTATTCTGTAGTTGAACATGAAGCTATAACATTTTTCTTTTTTGTAACGGTTTTGTCTCTGATGCTTTTTGAAATTTCCTCATTTTTTGTTTGCAATTTTGTCATTTGTGAAAACAAAAAAGTTTATATTTCATTTTTCTTTTTTTGTAGTTCTGTTGGATCCATTTATTCTCATGTTATGAGCTGTGTGTGTGCGCGTGTGTGTGTGTGTGTGTGTGTGTGTGTGTGTGCGCTCACATGCTTCAAATATCAACTGTGTAACTCCAGAGTATTTTTTTTTTTAATGTTGGGGGAAAACATCATACATTACAGAGTGCCTTAAGCTATTAAATCTTGAATTTGTGCATATATGACTGCTGTGCCTTAAATTGTTTTGTTTTTTGTTGTTGTTGTGTGTTCAGTTTTTAAAAATACGGTTTACTTTTGTTTTTCTTTAAATAGTTTACTAAATACTGCTGGGATGCAACGGTTGTAAAAAAACAAAAACAAAAAAAACTGCATCTCGCCCAGTCACTCTGTCTATGCTTTGTGTACAAGCCATAAATAAAACTGTTATCTTTCATTCTGAGTGTACAGTCAGCAGTTACCACACTTTATTGTGTTACTATTTATTGATGTCAACATTTCTGCTTTAAGAACATGAATTATATTAGACAATAATGAAGGAAATATTGAAATGGCAGCAGATGAATAAATTCTCCAAAGTGGCCGATCTAATAAGTGACACCATCATCATAACAAGGTGACTTTTGATGTGCTGACGCTCACAGATCTCAGGCTCGCTGTCAGGGGAGGATTTCTTGATCCGTTTTGGCTGCGATGTGCCAGCTTGGAGACGAGCCTGAGGCAGACTGCTTAGGTTTCCCTGGCAGTTTTGTGATCTCTTCTTTTTATTTAAAACCTGGACAAAAACAAATACAGTTCAAAATAAAATCCAGTACTCATAACAAGTCATGAGTATATCGAGGGGAGAGCTTAGGTTTAGTAGTTTGGAGACAAAGTTAGAGAAGAAAGACTGAGATGGTTTGGACATGTGCAGAAAGAAAATTGGATATGCTGAATAGAAGGTAAAAAAAGAACACAGAGGATGTTCATGTATAGAGTGAAGGAGGACATGCAGAGGGTTGGTGTGATAGAGGATGCTATAGATGCTAGAGATAGGGTGAAATGGAGACAGATAATCTGCTGTGGTGACCCCTAAAGGGAGCAGCTGAAAAAAGAAAACGACTTAAACTTCGTTATACCTTAGTTATACCTGACTACTACCATGTTGAACCCCCCTTTTTTGCCAACAGAACTGCCTTAAGTCTTCATTGCATGGATTTAACAAGGTGCTAGGAGCATATTTGGTCCATGTTAACATGATAGCATCACACAGAACATGGTGCATTATCCTGCTGCAAATAGCCATCAGAAAATGCGGGTACACTGTAGTCATAAAGGGATGGACACAGTTAGCAACAATATTCAGACAGGCTGTGGCATTTTAATGATAGTTGGTACAAAGAAGTCCAAAGTGTGCCAAGATTTTTTTTCCTTTTGTTGATGCAAAATCCTGACCCTACCAAGTGAATGTAACAATATAAATTGACTGATTTTGCATGTTTTCTTTTTTTTAGATAAATTATTGTCAAATTTCGGTGACTGTTCAATTTGTAGCCTCAGTTTCCTGTTCTTAGCAGACACGAGTGGCACAGGATGTGGTTTTCTTTAGCCCATCTGCCTCAAGGCTTATCGTTTTCAGAGGCTCTTCTGCATACCTTGGTGGTAACAAGCAGATTTTTGAGTCACTGTTACCTTCCTGTCAGCTTGAGGCAGTCTGGCTTGTTCCTTGAGCTTTAGCATCAACAACTGCCACTCAGGTTTTATCACTATTCTCTGTAAACCTTAAAGATTGCATATCCCAGCAGACCAGCAGTTTCTAAAATACTCAGACCACCCACGTTCCCAAATCTGATGCTCAGTTTGAACATCTGCAGGTTTTCCTGCCCATGAGCTGCTGCCATCATGACTGGCTGATCATATATTTGCATTAATGAGCAGCTGAGCAGTGTAGCTGACAAAGTGTTCGGTGAGTGATCATGTTAGTGTCTTACCTCTGGACTGTTGTTTCTGGTGTGTTTTCAGGAACTGCTCTATCTGGGATCCTTTGGTCCTGTTAGCGTACGAGTTGAAGACTTGCCGGCATGAAAAATTCACCTTCTCACATATTCGGATGTGCTTCTCTAATCTTTCACTCGCAAACTTTCTGTTGCAGACTTTGCAAGGAAAAAGCTGGAGGCTGACTTCTGTGCTCTCCATGAGCACGAGCTCTCCCTGTTGTGGTCCACTCCATTGTGAAGGTCTAGATGGAAGAGTCGAATCCCAGAGCTGATTTCCTCCTGCCCCTCTGTGGTTTCCTGTATAAGGAGTTTTCTGCAGATTCACCTGAGGCACATCACTGTACTTTATTTTTTCTATTTCTCCACCAGTACCACAATCTGTCCCATCTCCTCGTTTTCCTCTGGTATGCTCTTTCACATTGTGCCATCTTGATTTGTTCAGTTCTCCACTCACTTCTTGTTTGCTGGATATGACCTTAGAAGTGCCTTTATTTCCTTTCCTGTTAGGCTGAATAGTTTCTGAATCGTCCTGCTGTTCTTCCTTTGTAGTCCTCATTCTGTCCTCAGTCCTCTGATCTTGTTTGAGCCTAACTTGCTTAAAATCATCATACCTTCTGTCCTCCATCACTTTATCTGTGCCTCGTGCTAGCTCTCTAAACTGGAGCTCAGACATTCTGGTATTAGTTTGAGCTTCTCGCACCTGAGCTCGTCCTCTGTTGTGTCCCTCCTCCCTACTCGTTTTCTCATTACCTCCAGCATAGTCAGCGCTGGCCCTCTGGAGCTTTTGTCTTATTTTTAATTCAACTTTCAAGAGCTTCTCCTGCAGCATGAGCTGTTTTGCATGGATTGCTTTGGTCATCTGCAGCTCTTCACTGGGCAGTCTGTCTGACAGTGAGGCTACGGTGGTCTCTGTGATGTCATGTGAATGATGCTCCTGGGGTAACAAAGGGGCTACTGGTTGAGTAGAAACTGTGATGTTTTCAAAATCATCCAAATCGAGTGAAACCTGAGGCCTGCTAGGTCTTCTATGGCTCACAGGCTTGTTTGGAAATGGATGATTTACTGCATCTGCTTTCCTATTAGGCACATTAGGTCTTTCCCCTGCAAAGTTGTGGTGCCCCTGAAGAGTGTCTCTTCTTCTATGTGTGTTCATGACTTCATCTGTTGTTACAGATCATAAGCTGTTGTTCCACAGATTCAAAAATACCTGAATCCACTATATGGGGTCCTTTTATTGTATAATTTCTGTGCAAAAAGCAAGCAGAAAAAGGAAAGGGTAAGGCTTGTACAATATCACTGCCCCAATTCCAAAAAAGTTGATGTATAAAAGCTTATTTAAAAACAGGATGTAGTAATTATCTGAAAATCTCATAAACCCACATTTTAGTCACAACAGATCATAGAAAGCATATGACATGTTTGAACTGAGATAATGTTATCAAATAGCAGTTTTACTGTTTCATAAAAAAATATTTTCGCATTTCTGAAAAAGTTGGGATGAGGCAACAAAAAGTTGGAAAAGTAAGTAAAAAAGAAATTCTTGAAAAACATTTTTTAGTTCATTAGATTTATCTGCAAAAGCTCAGTAACACCACTGGGTATAAAAAGATTTTAGAGAGGCAGGCTTTCTCAGAAGTAGTGGTGGGCAGAGGTTCACCAATCTGGAAAGAAACTGTGTCTGCATTTGAAACCTTTCAATATCATATCATATACAGTACATATTATCATCAAAAGATGCAGAGAATTTGGGGGAAATCTGGAGAAAAAATAGAGGGACCATTACGCTTGTTATCAATTCCAAATTTTAAAAGCTTTCAGCTCTGATGGTATGGGGGTACATTTATGCCTATGCAATTGGCAGCTTGCACATTTGAAAAGGCTCCATGCTCAACCCTGAAAGGTACATACAGGCTTTATAGCAATGTATGCTTCTCCATGTGGTTCTTTTGGAAGGAAGGCCTTGCATATTTCCAAAAGATGATGCTAAACCACATACTGCATCTATTACAGCAGTACTGCATCCATGAGCTGCCAAACTGGTCTGCCTGCAGCTTGGACCTTTCACCAAATGAAAATATTTAGCACATCATGAATTGAAAAAGCACCTCGAATCTTAAACGAGTGAAGAATGGGATGACGGCCAGCTTCTCCCAAAATTTCAGCAGCTCTAAAGAAATGTTTCTGCCATCACCTTTATTAAATGTTTCTTTTAGTCTAGGACTAGGTTTAATCCATGCTTGTAAAACAGGCTATAAATGCAGGGGGGGAAAAAACTCAAGTACAAAGGTAATTAACGCACTGCTTTAAAAATATCTGTGTTACAGTTCAGTTTATCAACAGATATTTGGGCTTAATTTGGCGCATGGTGAGATGGTCAAATGCTTCAGAAAGAGACAAGCATGTTTATTTATTTATTTTTATTAAAGTGTTTTTAACGGCACAAGATAGGTTTTGTTAACTTTTTAACAACAAAGACCATAAATGTGCGCTCGACTAATAATTCCAAAAATACCGATATGTTCATGTCTTTGTCTGCAATAACATTTATTAGATAAAAAATAGAATCCAGTTTCAGAAAACTCTCATAAATATAATCTGCTGTCTACTTACCAGCATACCGATGTATATTTTCCTTAAAAATCCTGTCCTTCCAGCGTTTACATTTGTTGCCTAGATACAAAGCTTCTCGGTTGTTTTCTGATTGGTCCGGTAAACAAACACCACTTCCTGTAATCCTCTGTTCCAGCCCAGTAGGTGGCGATAATGCAATTAGGAACTCAAAGAAGAAGAGGAAGAAGAAGTGGCGTCTCGTATGTTTTGAATTTGCTGTAATTCGGAACTGGGTCGGTGTTTCACGGCTTCTGGATAAAATTCAGGTAAATTAAATGATAGCGAGTTTTTGCGCAGTAAAGTAGCAGTAATACTAAGCTAGGTGTGCTATGTATTATTTATGTTGGCATGGCTTCAATCACCTGTGATTACAAATCACCTTTAAGCATTAAAGGACTGCCTTTTTTTAAGATCCGTTATGGCCGATGAAGACCTAATTTCAGTGGATTATGAGATTTTTGGCAGAGTGCAAGGTGTATTTTTTCGGAAATACACGCAGGTGAGTTTGACATTGTCCCTGTATTCCTATGATTACCATTTTCTTACTATTATGACATCTCTTTTGCCCTCCACAATCTTAATAATAATAATAATAATAATAATAATAATCCCTTTTGCGTTTTTTTTTCTTTCAGGCAGAAGGGAAGAAACTTGGCCTTGTTGGCTGGGTCCAAAACACACCAGCAGGAACAGTGCAAGGGCAGCTACAAGGCCCACGCAAAAAGGTGAAGGAAATGCAAGAATGGCTGAGATCCACTGGGAGCCCCAAGTCACACATAACCAAGGCAGAGTTCAAGAATGAGAAAGAAGTTGACAGCCTAGAACATTCATCTTTTAACGTAGTAAAATAACTGTGCCTTTAATATTAACTTATGCAGATGTTTTATTTATTTAGTCTTTTTTTGTTTTTACTGGTTGGAATTTAACATTTAAACTGAATGGGAGGAAGAGGTGTACTGCATTCGTTTGATCTCCTAAATGTTCACAGAATATGTAACAACATTAATAAATGGGAACTTCCTTCATTGGGACTCACATTGTCTGATTTTATTGCAATAACAGCAGTGAAGGAATATTCAACTCAGTCAGCTTTAACATGCCTGGTTGTGAAGGACCTATGCTCTGCATTTAAAGTGGTTAGCGGAGGTGGCTACATTGTTCAAATTTTTTTATTTTTTAGAAGCCTTTAACAAAATTATATTTGTTCTCATGGTCATGCAAACAGGCACATGTGTGTGCTTGCCTGTTTTCAAAAGTAAGCTGTAATAATAACACCTTTTCAGGGTTCATCAAAAGCTCTTAAAGACTATTTACGCATAAGGTAACATAAACTATTTTGCTAAATTATCAAGATACTGATACAAGCTCAGTTATTCCAAGGACAAACACCCTGATATTGTTGGGTCTTCTGGTTTAAGATAACCGGTAAACGCCACACATGCCAATAAAGTGGGTAGGTCAGCAAATAATTTGACTTCATGTTGGTATGAAAAACACAGGTGTATCTGATGTCTGTGCAGACTTACTGGCACACTTGTACACAAACGGGGCATTTAAAGTTATTAATAAAATGTGTTTTTCCACTGTAACTTGATGTATCGAGACATGTTAGGATGATGTTGCAGGCCTGGCCACTCTTGAGTTTGCTTGAGTTTTATCCATATCGAGGTATACAGTGGGCAAGCTAACTGAGGGAGATGTGACTGAAATTGTTTTGTTGACTTCTTAACTGCAGAAAGGAAAACTGACTGGGTGTATAAGCACATTGAACAGCACACTCCGTACAGGAGGTGGCGGTATGCAGTAAAAGCAGGCTAACTTACGAAAGATGTCTGGTAAACATGGCACATTCAAGTCAACGCGGTGATCGAAATTTTCCAGTAAAGCTCCGAGTTCCCAGCTACAAAGACGCAAGTGTAAGCAATCGAAAGGGGTGACTATGACAAACTGTAGGCATTAATATTAGCATTGTATATAGCTGAAGTCATTAAGTCATACGGATAGAAGTTTCCGAGTCGACGCGAACGCAGCAGTAAATTCAACCACACCAGAAGGTGGCAGTATTATAATATTAGCCAGTTTTAAGCGGTCATAGGCCTGTGTTTTTGTTTCACGTTGACTGTACACAACAGCTGAGGTATTTGAGGGCATGGTTTTATTAAGCTAAATATTTTATCATATTTAATGAAATATGAAAGAGGGTTTTACTTCAAAATGTGTCGCTATCAAAAAGTCCCCTTTGGAATTAGCTAGCATTAACTACTTAGCAACGGTTAACTAACTTCTTAGTTTGCGGTCGCCGGTACAGGTGATAGACCACAGATACAAAGAGAACTGAATGTAATTCCCATTATGATTAAGTGTTTACCCAAAGAGGTTCAGGGGAAGCTTCGCTCCGGTGTCGCTATCCCCTCGCTTCAGCAGTGTGTGGAGGAGCTGATTTTAAACAGCATCGATGCCGGGGCGACCTGTGTGGGAGTCCGAATGGACATGGAGGCATTTAAAATTCAGGTGATCGATAACGGTGCTGGGATGAGCGCCGAGGACATGGCCTGTGTTGGGAATAGATACCACACAAGTAAATGCACTTCTGTGGCGGACCTGGACAACCTCAGGTGGTATGGTTTCAGAGGGGAAGCCTTGGCGAGTTTAGTTTCTTTAGCCACACTTGTTGAAATCTCCTCCCGGACCAGATCATCTGTAAAAACACACGTTAAAATATTCAAGGAGGGGAAGGGCTTGGAGGTCTTTGAAGCAGAGGCTGCTCGACCCTCAGCGGGCACAACTGTCATCATTTGTAACTTCTTCCACAACATGCCTGTCCGAAGGAAGAGGGTTGATGCCGTCCTGGAGGGTGAGAGGATCAGGCACAGAGTGGAAGCTATTTCCCTGATGCACCCCTCTGTTTCCTTCACCCTGAAGAATGACTGCACAGGAGCCATGATGGTGCAGCTCCCGAAAGCAAGAAACACTTATCACAGGTTTGTTCAGATACATAATCTCGGGCGAGCAGAGAAGCTGGGAGAAATCAGCCACACATACAAACAGTTTGAAGTGATGGGTTACATTGGCAGAGAGGGCCACTACAACAACAGCTTACAGTTCCTGTATGTGAATGAAAGACTGCTGTTGAAAACACGTATTCACAAGCTGCTGAATGTTCTCCTGCGCCGACTGACCAGTTCGAACCAGAAGAATGACAGTCCGGATGGGCAGTCTGTCATCAGAAGTCCAAAGCACAAGCGAAGCCAAGATCTGTATGGAGTGTATATCATCAATATTAAATGCTCTTACTCGGAGTATGACATTTCCCTCGAGCCTGCCAAAACTCTAATAGAGTTCAAAGACTGGGATGGCATTTTGCTCTGTGTTGAAGAAGCAGTGAAAGCTTTCCTGAGGAGGGAGAACTTGGTGGCTGTCATTACTCAAGACGACTTGGACTATGCATCTCCAAGAGTGTTTGGAACTGGCAAAACAGAACCAGAAGAGAACGGTGACAAAGGTGGCCAAACAGCTACCACTATTTCTACAATGGACTGTAGCGTTGGCACGAGACTGGCATCTGAATCTGTTCATCGTAATCACACAGGTGACAGTGTTTCTAAAGATGGTGTTTGCCTGGAGGCTAGATCGGATAAAAGTGAACAACCAGGCCAGCAAAAGATAAGTACAAATGAGTTGCAAAATGTACACAGTGAAAAATGTTTAAACAATGCATGTAGCGATAAGCTGATGTCTGATCTGGCTACAGTGGAACCTTTATCTTATAAAATTAATAAAGAAGTGGAGCCCGCATATAGTGAAGCTGGGGAAGGTTCTAATATTTTGCATCTTTCAAGAGAGCTACTTTTAAAAGAAGGAGATGACAGCTTCATTCAACAAGCCCAGCCTGCTTTAAACTACACTGAGAGAATAGTACCTGACTGTCAGGATGCAAGCTGCCATGCACAGACTTTAGTAAGTAAGAGAAAGATCAGATTGTCTGATCAATATATTCAAGAGAGTCTGCAGAGTCGGGACCTTTTGCAAAACAATAGGCCAGTATTTCAGGAGGAAAGTTTAACAGTAAAATCTGAAGAAAAAGCTTCTGTTGCGAAACGCAAAATCTCACTAGACACAAGCAGATCTTCTCAGAAACAATACAGAGACTCTTCCTCTGTTGTCCCCTCAAAGATTTCCAAGATAATTTCATGCCATAAATTGTCTGGATCTCTTGACAAGTTTCGACGAACGTGTGTTAAATCTGGTGAACTCGAATCACAGTTACCCAAGGCTCATTTGAAGAACGACACTCCTCAGACAGACCGCGTTGTTTTGAATACATCAATTTTCCAGGAAGTTCAACAAGAAGATGAGATGCAGGACAAAGATGAGGCAAAGAACAGCCTCCAAAGCCCGCCAACTCTCTCTATTTTCACTAAGATAAAACCAGAATCAGCACAGAACCAAGGTAAAAAATCTTTGGCAGCTAAACTCCGTCATTTGAAACAACATGGGACAGATGATTCAGAGGTATCATTGGATTTTTCCAGAAGCATCTCAAAGGATACTATCTGTGTCAGTACTGGAATTGACGGTAACCAAGATAGCAATGAGATTCCCTGTGACCCTGAGTTCAATATGAGGCCAGCCTCAGGTTGCATTTTAAACCCTGAACTTGCTATGAATGAAGAGGCTATCACATCGAGCGACTGGCTCCAGCAGTACGACGCATCTGTCGGAAAGATGGTTTATGTGAACAGAGTGACCGGGCTCAGCAAATATGAGGACCCAGCTATGGAGGAAACTCAAGTGCGCTGCACATCTGATGTCACCAATATAGCAGTTAGTGTCATTTCTGAAATGGGTAAGTTAACACACAAAATTGCACATATGCACATTAACACAGATAATTTGTTTACTGTTTTAATGCATGCCGTCATGTCCATGTAGGGATGGAATACAGGTGTTACCCATTTCAGGTGGATCTAGTGTTGCCATTCCTGCCTAAATCCAGACCAGAAAGGGTGATTAGATCAGGGCCTGATTGTAGAGGTACCTGACAGATTTATAAGCGTGTAGGCTGTAAGGTCATGACCTCAGATAATGTACAAAATGCAGTTGATAATTTGCAGCCTTTTATTATCTCGTCTTTACAGGTGATGTTGGTGAAAGCTCAAACTCGCTTTTTTCATTGTACTCAAAATGGAATAATCCCGTGTTTGTCCGCCCTCCAATGGTAATGAAAACACATTTTTACTTTGTATTAACTCGATTTAGTAATGACTCGAACTGATTGGCTCATAGCAAAACACAAAGTCAGATTTCACTTCGGTGGTTTTGTTTTTGATACTACATCATCCCTCCACAGGTCGGTGTGGATATTTCCAGTGGACAAGCTGACGGACTGGCCGTAAAGATCCACAACGTCCTTTTTCCATACCGCTTCTCTAAGTCCATGATTCACTCCATGAAGGCAAATTAATCTCTCAGCTGTTACCACTTTTTATTAGCAGTTTTACAAATTTCAGTAAAACGCTGTCATAAAGCTGTGATGCAATTCTCCTATAGGTTATTCATCAGGTGGATAAAAAGTTTCTTGCGTGCCTTATTAGTACTAAGGATGACGAGCTGGTGGAACACACTGAAACTAAAGGTGAAGTTAGAAACATTAAATCTTCGTCATTTATTGTTTTCTTGAGACATGTTTATTTATTTATTTGTACATTTTCAATTACAAAACAGGAAACCTGTTGGTGCTGGTAGATCAACATGCTGCACATGAAAGAGTGCGACTTGAAAATTTAATTGCAGGTAAAAAAGAAGAAGAAGTGAACAGTAGTTTAGTTTTGTTATTGAAACACTGATAATGCTGTTAATAGGTGCTTATTGTAATTCTGCAGTCATAGCTGTTTGTGCTGTCACAGATTCATATGCAGATGACCCAGATGTCCCAGGAGAGAGATGCCTGTGTACTTCAACCATTTTGCCACCTCTTGGGATCAGTGTAACAGAAGAGGAGATAAGGCTGCTTAGGTATGGAAATCTATTGGGTGTATTGGGCAACAAGCAAAGAGGGAAAGCCTGCAAAGACAGAATACATATAGTAAATATCTTCCAACACCCCTCATTTCTTCATATTTTGTTAGGAAAATGGGAAATAGGTGCAGTTGTTTATTGAAAACGTTCATGGAAATAGAGTATATGAGGCAAAAACAGAGTTTGTACAGTTCTGATAATATTTGGTGACCACTTTTATCCTTAAGAATGGCCTGAAGTCTTTTAAGCAAGCTTTTCTTTCTTTAAGTAGTCTTCAGGAAGGATTTTCCAGACTTATTGAAGGACGTTCTTTGGATGTTGGCTGCCTTTTGTTCTGTTCTCTGTCAAGATGGTCCCACACTGCTTCAGTAATGTTGGAGTCCTCTAGGGAGGCCGGTCCATGAATGATAGTGTTCCAGCATATATTTTTTTTCTATCCAGGCATGTTTTTACTGTATTGGCAGTGTGTTTGGAGTCATTGTCATTCTGAAAAACAAAGTGCCTAGAGATACAATTTAATAAATGGTCAAGTATACTACTTTATTGTATTTTTTGCACCACATGCTTAAGCTTTGTAGACTAGCAGTAGAACATAGAGTTTGTGTTCAGATGTTATTTAGTTAGTACTCATAGACTGTTCTTGTATTTTCCTACAGGTCCTGTCAGCCACATCTAAGGAGTTTGGGCCTGGAAGTTCATTTTTCACGGGCAGCAGATCTAAAAGTGTTTGTCGGGAAAGTGCCATTGTGTTTTATGGAAAAAGAGAGTAATGAGCTGAGGCGAGGAAGACCATCTGTTATAAAGCCAATTGCTGAGGTAAACCTGTTTACTGTTTCACTGTTTTTGCTAAGTGAGGCTTTTACAAAGCTGTTCTCTGATATGTACCGCTTAATTTTATCTGACAGGAGTATCTTCGAGAGCAGATTGAGGTGAGCTAGATTTTTTTCTGTTTTCCTATGTACTAAAGCTCTGTGATGCACAATAGTATGTACTATTTGCTTTGGAGTAATATCTTTGGTTTGGTCTTTTTTCATTCCCCAGCTACTCCGCTCAACAGGTAGAGTGAGAGGAACTTTGCCTCTCACTGTTCTGAAAGTGCTCGCCTCACTAGCATGCCACGGTAAAGACAATCAGCTTCTCTCAGGCCTTGAATATATTTTTTTCTGTGATTCTGAGCCTGAAATCTTTATACTTGTTATTTTTATACATGCTTGCATTGAACAGGTGCCATCAAATTCAACGACACCCTAAGTAGAGATGAATGCCACAGCTTGGTGGCATCCTTGTCTGCCTGCCAGCTGCCCTTCCAGTGTGCTCATGGCCGTCCATCTATTGTTCCCCTCGTAGACGTCCTTCATTTGGACAAAGAGCACACGGTACCAGAACACATTGCACATTTGAACTCTGGACTAAAAGTCAGATTCAAGGAAATGTCCAGTGCAATATTGTGATGATGACTAAGTATTGTTGTCCTTGCAGGAAGTCCAGAAACCCAACCTCCGAAAGTTGAGAAGAATGTATAAAGCATGGAAGCTATATGGGAATGCTTAAGGGTGTGTATTTTGTTTTTAAATGTGTTGTTTTGTTTCTAAAAAAAAAAAAAAAAAAGATTCATAACTTATTAAATGGTTCAGATATTCCTGTTTCTTTGCCCAAATTCTATGGCTCAAGCTTTTTTCTTGTAATCTAAAGCAACAGAAAGTCATAGTAAGATATATACAGCACTGTGAAAGCCTGTTTGCCCTCTTACACACTACTTAGGTTTTTGCATATTTATCACACTTAATGTTTCAGATCATCAAACTAATTTTAATATTAGACAAAGATAATCCAACTAAATATAAAATGCTGTTTTCAATTAATTACTTTATATGTTGAGGGGGGGGGGGAAGCTATCCAAACCTCTCTGGCCACATATAAAAAGGACTGTAAGTATAACGTATGTAACATGATGTGAGTAACAGTAAATTTTGTTAGCTGTAGTAGTTTGGACTTTATCGTGTGGCGCTCATAATGTTATAAATGTCAGTGCTATGAAAATCCTTCACATCTTTGCTTCCACATGCGCATCATGTTCAGTTTAACAACTTTATTCTGGGAGGTTTCAGTTCCCACAAACATTTTTTGCCTATTATGTTACTTCACAAAAAAATTGCTGATAGCTCATTGAGATATGATTTATTTAAAATAATAGATATTACTATACGAAATTCTTATAATTAATTCATTCTTTTTGGCACAGACTCAACAAGGTGCTGGAAACATTCAAGATTTTTGACCATAGTGATATGACAGCATTACAAAGGTCATTTGAGTATGGGGACACGAGTGTCATGTTCAAGAAACCAGTTTGATATGATTTAAGCTTTGTGACATGGTGCATTAACGTGCTTGAATCAGCCACCAGGAGATGGTGCACTGTGGTCATAAAGGGATGATCATAATCAGTAACCGTACTCTGGTAGGCTGTGCCATTTAAATAATTCCCAGTTGGAGCAAAGGGGTACAAAGTGAATTAATAATAATTGGAGCGCTATGTTTAATTGTCTTAAAATGTATAGCAGCTTTTGGGTGTCTTTGCAGGCCTCCTCGCCTTGCAGCAGCACATTCTTGCAGACTTGTTCTAGAGCTGGGCGGCAGAGAGACTTGAAGCGAGAGCGCTGTCGGGTACAGTAGGCGCACAGCATCGACGCAGCGCTGCTCCTTTGTTGTGATTGGAGTATTGAGCAGCTGTGTTGCAGACCCCTTCTTCCCCCACAGTTCCGGGTCATGCCACGTGACTTGCCCGCCCCCACATGTCCCTCCCAAGTAAACAATTCAGCATCATTTCATTATGTCTGTGAACAATCCCTGATTCTTATCATCGGTGGGAAAAAAGCCTGAGCTCGACAACAGATGCCTGTCACACAGCTAAAACCTCCCAGCATAGTCCGCATTTTATCAATGTGAAATGGCGAATGGAGATGAGATGGGTTTTTGGATTCGGATAAATTATGGAGCTAAATATAAATGCTAGCTGCAGTGTGTATTTTAAAATGGTCGAGCAAAACGTGTCCACTTGACCTTGGAATCAAATGAGGTTTTATTGAAGAGGAGCCGTTTCCACCACGGCTCTATTTAACCTTTGACTGAATTGATACAGCACGGCGTTAAGTTTTTATCGCCCAGGAAATGGTTACATAGGCATATTTATAAATAGACTCGCGTTTTTCATCCCATATTGCATTAATAAGAGGCCGATAGCCATTTTTGTGAATGGGGGAGAGAGAGAGGGAGGGGAGGGGGGGTCTGGTCATCTTGCGGTGCCTAACTGGCGTAAATACAAACAAATCAAAAGGGATAAAGTGTCAGATATCGCTCATGGAGTGCATATAATGGTGGATAAATGTCAACAGGATGGCCTTTTACTCCAAAATATGCCTATGTGGCTGTCAGTCTGACCCCCCCTCCGCAGATGGTACAGTCTTGGTTCATTCATAAAATTCTAGCAGAGCATAAAAGGAGGGGCTTGCATTCTAGTCGTCCAGTTACCAGGTAGACTATACCTGGAGAAAAGACCCGAGCTGCTCTTCCCCAGCGGAAGGCCACAGTCATATTTGTCATTAATCAGGACTCGTGTGTGTGCGTGTGTGTGATTTTGCTTTTCTTTCTTTTTTTTCTTTTCTTTTTTTTTCTCCTCGTGATGTATCAAAACAACCTGACGCCTGACATGGATTCAGTCTCCCCCACCTGCCGGGCAGAGTCTCCTGTCGGGACACTCTGCCAGAAGACGCCAGAGGAGGCGAGCTCTCCAGCGTCCTCCACAGAGAGCAATGCAAAGGTATGAATGGCTTTGTTGATCATTTATTTAACACGCTACCCAGGAGGCACCCCGTTTAAAACAGATTAAAGATCACCATTTCTCTCTCTCTCTCTCTCTCTCTCTCTCTCTCTCTCTC